GTATATATATATATGTATATATTAATAAAAAAAATTAGAGATGAAAATATAGCTTACTGAAAAATTCTGAAACTGGTATAAATAAAAGTCAAAAAACAAAAATTGAATTTAATTAGCGCCAAGTTTATGAAATGATAATTGAATCGCGAATATTTTGTAGTGGACAAACAAATCGGTGCAATATGCGAGAGCGACTCGCAATGTACATCAGATATGGCCTGTCTGAACCGCAAGTGCATCAATCCGTGCACCGTCAATCCATGCGCTCCAAATGCCGAATGTCACATCGAAAACCACCGTCGCACATGTCAATGTCCTCGCGGACATGCCGGTGATCCATTTATAAATTGCTATGAAGGTACCGTATTATACTCGTTTCTCTTCATTTCTCGATATAAGCGCAATTGAATATTTTTTTACATTGTTGTCTTCCGTCCACAGAAGATGTAGTTCTTGCGGAATGCAAAACGAATACCGAGTGCCCGTCCGACAAAGCATGCATAAATCAACGATGCCAAGATCCGTGTTCCAGCAACCGTTGCGGCCTAAACGCAGAGTGTATCACGATCAATCATCATCCCTCTTGTCACTGCCAAAGCGGTTTAGCCGGTGATCCGCAACTTCAATGTTTCAGACGTAAGTTTTTTTTTTATTTCTTCTCTCTTTTATTTGAGAAATTACAGTATCTCTAAAATGTACGCGTCAACATATGATTCTGTAAGTAATATAATAATAATATGGCTGTCGCTGATCTTTTCTGTTTTTTTGTATGATAGCAATAATAAATTTGATGCGATTCATTGACGCAATTAAAGACAAATTTAAAAAAAAAGATAAAAAAAATTTTAAATATGTTAAGGATGAATTGAAAAGGTTTTCATTATATTTTGGATATTACATCCACTCACCGCGCATAATCTTTTCTTTGCAGCGGAATGTAAGACAGACAACGACTGTCCTTATGACAAGACCTGCCGAAATGACAACTGCGTCACTCCTTGCCTCGTTGGTGATATTGTGTGCGGTCGGAGTGCGGAATGCAAAGCGGTGTCTCACAGAGCTCAGTGTATTTGCCCGCAAGGCACTCAAGGTGATCCACGCGTGGCATGCATTTCCGCTATCTGTCATTACAACGAAGACTGCGCCGATCATGAGGCCTGCGATAGACTGAACAGGGTTTGCAGACCGGTTTGCGACGACGACGCCTGTGCCGAAACTGCGATCTGTGTGGCACGCGATCATCAGCCTAGATGTACATGTCCTCCGGGTACTACCGGAAATCCGTATATAACATGCAATGGTATGTTGATTGTATATTTCGAATGTTATTCTTAAATTTAAAAAAAGAGCTCTTAAGTTCATCATGAAAATATAATACATGAAAGCTATAATAATTTTCTAAGATATCCTGTATGATATATTAATTTCCTCTTAGGTGAACCTTCTGTCGAGCCGGAATGCATACAGGACAGCGAATGCGCATTGAATCTCGTTTGCATTAACACCAGGTGTCAAGATCCGTGTATGTCCGCCAGTATGTGTACCAATGAACAGGAATGCAAAGTTCTAAACACGATTCCGCTTCGTACGATGATCTGCTTGTGTCCATCGAATACGATCACCGATGTTAACGGCCAGTGCAAGCCAATTGGTACGTATCGATTTTATATTAAAAAGGTGCTGCGCCGTGGATGAAATATTATTGTCAAAGATATCTTTTAATCTTTTACGTATATGTAGTATTAGGCGACGTGCAATGTCATCTGGATCAAGATTGCGCCAATCAGGAGAAATGCCTGGATGGAAGATGCGTAGACGCCTGTCTGACAACCCAGTGCGGTCTTAATGCGCAATGTAAATCTACATCTCATACCGGTATCTGCTTCTGTTCTCAGGACTTTAGGGGCAACGCTTATATAGAATGCGCAAGAGGTAAATGCAAAATATAAAATCGAACAAGTTGAAGTCTTTCTTGCAATTATCACAATTATCTCTAATCATCTCTCGCGACGTACCATCACCAAGATTGACATAAAATTTCTGTTGCAGTCCCTGTCGCTCCGTCGCTTCCAGGACTTCGACCGGAATGTTACACAAATAGCGAATGCGCGCGCGATAAGCAATGCATAAATTCGCTCTGCGTAAATCCGTGCATTGCTGGCGATCCTTGCGGCAGGAACTCTCTGTGCCATGTTGACGATCACAATCCAATCTGCAAATGCCCGATCGGCTATATCGGCGATTCCACGATCAAATGCATACCACGTAAGACGAATTACGAATAAAGATTTTACATCTTGAAGATTATGTGTATATAACAACACTGTATAATATGACATTTCTATTGCAGCGGAGATCGTGCTTGAGTGCGTATCAAACAGCGAATGCGCAGGAAACTATGCGTGTGTTAACAGCGCGTGCATTAATCCTTGCAACTGTGGTCTCAACGCCAAATGTAACGTCGTGAATCATTATCCATCTTGCGTATGTCCTCCAGGCTACTCTGGAAATCCTCAGTTAGGATGCTTCAAACGTAAGTGCAATTAATGCTATCTTTTTCTCTGTGTAGAGTGAAAATGTTATGTAATAATATATTTTAGTCACACATTTCTTATTTTACTGATTAATACGATTAATAACGATTTCTTAATTTTAATTTAACACATCCCATCAATTGTAATTGTCTGTTTCAGTCGATTGCGAATCTGACAGCGAGTGCGATTACGCAGCCACCTGTTACAACGGTCAGTGCGTGAATCCTTGCATCTTAGACAACAAATGCGCCATCAATGCAGAATGCTACGGTAAAAATCATCGGTCGGCCTGTCGTTGCGGTTCCGGCTACTACGGTAATCCTCAGGTTCATTGCGAGAGGGTCGAGTGTAACACGAATCACGATTGCCCCCACAATTTGGCTTGTAACGACGGTCGCTGTGTGAATCCTTGTGCCGAGAATTCACCCTGCGCGCGAAACGCCGTTTGTTACGTCCAGGATCACGTGGCATCCTGTCGCTGCCCCGAAAACATTCCGCTGGGAAATCCATTCTCCTACTGCGAACGACGTCCCGTGGACGAAATCGAAGAGCCGGAGTGCAGAGTCGACATTGATTGTTCGGACAAATTGGTATGCATCCGGGAGAAATGCATCGACCCTTGCCCGGTTATCAAACCATGCTTGGAGAACGCTCGTTGCGACGTTCTTAATACTGTGCCCGTAAGGACTATGATTTGCACGTGTCCAGAGGGATGGATCACCGACATCGACGGTGTATGCAGACCAAGTAAGTAAAGCTTCTCAAAAACGATAGACTATTCGCGAATTGATCAGTTGAAAAATTGAAAACATAAGCCTATATAATTTGTATAAAAATTCATAATACATAAATTATTTTAATTCCCCGCAGTACAATTGACGGTTATCGGAACGTGTACGACGAACGACGATTGCAGCGACCGTGAAGCTTGCGTCAACAGGCAATGTCGCGACCCTTGCAACTGCGGCACCAACGCCGTCTGCTACGTGAGGAATCATAAACCAATCTGCTCGTGCGAGCAAGGCTACCAGGGTAATCCCGAGATTGCGTGTCAATCGGTCGAGTGTCGGCATGACAGCCAGTGCACACTCGACAAAGCCTGCGTGAACAACAACTGCGTAAATCCATGCTTGGTCGCGGATCATCCATGCACAGACATCAACAGTGAATGTTTCCCGAACAACCATGTAGCCGATTGCCGCTGCCGCAAGGGCTATCACGGCAATCCGTTGGATCGTTGCCGCGTCATCGGCTGCTACAGTAACGGCGACTGTCCAGGCGATCACTCCTGCATCAATATGCAGTGCATTGATTCCTGCGTGCACGACAATCCGTGCTCGCCCCGCGCGGAATGCAGGGTTCTCAATCATTTGCCGATATGTCGTTGTCCACCCCGTTTCACTGGTAACCCGTACATCAATTGCCAACCAGAAGTTAGACCCGAGTGTAGGG